ATTGTTCCTCTCTTCCCTGAGAGGCAGTGCAGGTTTTCACACAGATTTCATATTTAATGGTGAAAGTGGGTCCAGCTGTCAGATAAACGGCGGTAATTGTGTGTAATTGTGTTATTCTATGAACTATCTGTGTCCCTCTTTATGTTTTACGACTCGTTGTGTTTCTGCCATGCTGCACTGTTGGAACTGTAAACGGTCTGTGGCGCTCCGACATTAAACTGCAGCTCAATCTGCTCCTGATTAAAAACTACATGGAGAGTTTACAGAGCAAATTAATTCAGCCGCACTGATTCTCATTATTACAAAGCCCCAAAAACCGCCCGGAAACACTGCACAACACACACTTTATAAGTGATTAATACGAGACAGAAATACATCAATCAGTTCATTAGTGGTTTTGCTGTTTTGGGTTTTTGGTTCGGTTATTTATCGGGGTTCGGTTTGGTTCATTTTATATTTAAAGCTCGGGTGAAAGTTTCTCTTTAGGCATTTTAAAACAAGTCAAACTCTTTTATTTTTATATTTTTGTAATTTTCTTTCCTCTCAAAAAGAATATCTACACGACATTTGGTCGAAGTGAATTTCTTTTCCACCAAATCTTTAAGCAGCCGTGTCACGGAGCCAAATCAGATTAAAATTTCTTACATTTTTTCTTTGAGAGAGTTTAATTTTCTATTTACGGTCCAGCTGTATCTATTGTGAGTTCACCAGCGGGTTATTAAGGAATAAAATATTAATTCGGCTGCAACAGTGAAGCTTTAAATTAACAGTTTGGGTTCATTATCCGGTTAAATGATTTTCTTAATTGGCAGCGCGAATTAGGCCTGAACTAAAAGAGGAGGCTGCTGATGCTTCGACATTAAACCGACTGTTAAACACTTAAAACGGATTCAATCCCGTTTGTATTTAGTGTCGCAGTTGTGCCGACATTGAGGTCAAAGTTCAGGAGATATGGAGGTGAAGCTCGGCTCCTCCAGATGTCTGACATTTTCAGGAAAACCTGATTTTTGGTCTTTTTTTCTCTCTCGGCTCTCGGGTTTCAGGGTCTTTCTCGACCTGTCGAGGGACGCCAGCGCCACATAAATCACACTTTACTTTATAAACCCTCTGCTCTCTGAAGTCCGGCCCAGCTCTCTCTCTCTCTCTCTC